ATAGGACGTTTACTTGTACGATATTTATTTAATAAAAGTCTTTTCATTGTGTAGCTAGCTCTTTAAGGGAGATATTACGAGTATTATAGATTTTTTTAATATTATTACTAGGAAAGACTTTGTTTTTATTGAATATAATATTTTATATAATAATAATAGAGTTAGTATAAGGATTCTAAATCTTATAATTATTCGTTGATTAGTATTTAATTAAATAGTTAACCTAAGTATAGTTTTTAAATTTTATTAATTTATTCTATTCTTTTATAATTTTTATTGTAAAAATAAAGGCTTTATAGCTATATACTTTAAAGTGTAGGATGGTAGGGGTGGGGTTTAATAGAGGAATAATATTGTTTTTAAATTAGTAGTACGTTTCGAATCGATTTTGGGGAGATTTTTAATAATATTCCGCCTTAGGAGTTAAGTTATATAAATATGTAATTACTCTAATAAATTCTATTTATAACTCGTGAGCAAGATTTGCACTTAATTATATTGCCGTACTTTTAATTTTGATTATACCTCCTAAACGCTTTACGCCGCCGTTTTAAATTTATATATAAAGTACTAAGGGTTTAATACTAATTCCTTTAGTAGTAAACTAGGTGGTAATCTTCTTACTACTAATTATTTCGTTATTATATTCGATTACCCGAAGTACGATTTAGTATTGAGTTTATAGCCCTATATAAAGGGATTCTAAATACGTAATAATAGATTCGGCTTCTCTATTGCCTAGGTAATATATTTAGACAAATTTAGACTACCGGTTTATGATTACTATTAAATTTGAATATTTTTAGCCCCCTACTTTTACTTCTTTATAAAAGATGAAATCGACAGCTAATTATAACCTAAGGCCTTCTAAGTAGTTATAAGCTTCTCTACGTACTTAGTACTTTAATTTAGTTTTAGTATATAATTTGTAGTATATTATATCCGGTCCCTTGAATCGTACGCTTTACTTTTATTCCGTTAGTTTAATTAAGGTCTCGGGTCCTGGGTGGCCAAATCGAAGATATTAACGAAAGGGTTTACCTTTTTAAGGCTTCCGCTTAATATAATTTATATACTATATAGTAAAAGAAGATTCGTTAGTGCCATTCTATAGAAAAATATACTTTAAAATAAATTATTTATATTTAAAGTAGATATAGTAAATAAGGGGGTTTATAAGGCGGGAGTATAAATAGTTATTCTTATAATCCTAGTAGATTTATTTATCTTTGAATTATTTTAAGGAGACGAAGTTATAAATTATGCCCGGTACTAGGGTGACGTTAAAGAATTGGAGCTCTCTATCTCTAATGTTGTCTTAAATTATAATTATAATAATATTATACAATTTGATAAGAATCTACTTATTTCCAACCTATACGTAATTACTAGTATTTAATAGGATAAAATCTTTAAACCGATTAACTTTATTAAAAATATATATTATTATATTTAAATCGAAGATTTTAAAGTCTCTTCATAAATATATATCGCTGCGTTTTGCTATAGGTACTAAAAGATTATTCTTACTTACCCGGCGTTTATAGAATTAATTATTTTAATCTTCGTCGTCCTATTATATTCGTAGATAGTTAATAGCTTCTTTAAATATTTTATTTTTCTTTAAATTAGCGAACGCGCACTTCTTAATAATAACACTTTCGACCTAACCTTTTTAGGCTAATTATAATTTAGCGTAATAGTATTTATTTAAATTATAGCCCGGCTATTTATAAAATTTGTATAGGGATTATCGCGGTTGTTTATTTATTAATAGGGACGAAGAGGAAATATATTTATTCTTATTAATATTTTTCCTAAATTTGCTTATTTTTTTATAACCTCTCCCCGTCCTTTTATTTCCGGGTTAGAGTTTTATTCGTTACTAGGAACGTCCTCTTTAATAAATTTAATATTTAACGTAATTACAAATATAATACCTTTAAGTAAGAGGGGGTAACCCTTTCCTTAAATAATATTCGCTATTATTACTTTATGAAAGTCCTTGGCTACGGTACGGAAAGAGATTTTGAAATTAAAGTTTCTCTCAATCTCTTTATTATATTAGAGTTAGTAATTGTTTACCTAAGCGGTATAAAGATTCGACTTTATAATTATATAGAATTTTAGGAACTATAAATGTAATTCATTTATTCTAATAATTCTTCTAATAATATAGAGGGCTATAGCCGCTTCCTAATAAAAGGTTTAATTGTACTAAATATGGTTAGCTTTATTAAAGGGTTTAAAAATATTAATAAATTTAGCCCGAGCGAATTTCTTTACTTTACAATCGTTAAAAGCGGTAGATGAATTAAAATTATTATATTATTTATATAAATTAATATATTTAGTAAAATTCATTTCAAGGTAATTATTTTCAACGGTTTTAAATATCTAACGATTTAATATAATCTTTTTAGTACCTAAATTAAAAAAAGTTTTAACCTCTATACGCTAACCTAATTTCTCAATTATATAATTATAGTAGTTGCGCTTATAATAAAAGCCATAAAGTTTAGCGGTAATAAATAGGGCAACCTCCCTATCTTTCTTAACTTCTCTCGTTTTTTAAGCGGGAATTTCCCCTTAGTAGTTAGCGATGTTAAGCTCTATAGGCTCAATTAGCCAAAGTATACAATTATTAGGATCGATATACTTCTAGAAACTAAAGTGCTAAATTATAGAGATAAAAGTATTTTCCTAAGCCGGCTAATCTTTAAGGCTATTGAGAGTAACGTTATTAATCTTGGTCGTAGATATTATTAATAGTCGTTTAATTGGTTATCGTTGTTGGCAATAATTTTAACAATTAAATTAATAAGCCTTTTAATTGTAACATTATAGGTAATAATCAATACAGGTTCAACGTAGCTTGATTGTATATATATGTATAAGACTGGCTCTGTAGATTTGAAGCTCTAGTATCTGGGTAAAAATCCCACATATCCCAATCTAGCTAGGCACGTGTACGCCCAGTGAATCCCCTGGCCTCTGACACAGACGGACCGGAAAAGTGGGTCTTTAAGGGTGACCGTACCCCCGATAGAGGGGTATAAGTGTTCACTCTCACCAAAACTTAACCCTTGTTAATGTAAGAATCCGGCCGTCACTATTGCAATTAGCAGTTAGCAGTCCCAGTATTGGCCTGTAAATCTGGCAGCCAACTTCTTTAGCAATAAGTAGGGTTTTTGCAGTAGGGGGTGCTTGCAACTGCAGGGGACATTACTGTACCGCTGCATGTCGGCAAGCAAGGACCCGACCATAGGGATTCGAGCCCCGGCCCCGGGTTTATTCTCACTTTTCGGCATTAACCGACCCCACCATACCGATGAGAGTGTGACTCTTCCACTGTTTTCTAGAAGGTCAAGGTCCAGCATCGACACCCCTGCGTTCTCGACCTACACCGAGACCCAACCTCCCGTCACACGATACCTTACACGCAGCTGCGGACTGACATCAATCAACTACCTTACAGTATTTACCTCAGAAACCTAACCGGGGCCTCTAGGCACCAATCACTCCAGAGAGCATGGGGACAGTTCGAACCACAAAGCCACAGACCAAACCAAGGCATCCGTCTGAGTCAGTCGCAACCTTCAATTTTACTTTTGACATCGAAAACGATGAAGCCTTCACCGGGTTTCTATCGAGGGCAGTTGGGGTCCTGTCATGTCAACGTTGTCCGTCAATAATCGGCATAGCAGTCAGGGACGCTGTCAGTCGCCGCTTCGGAGGGTGAAGTGCTAATAAGTGATTGGTTACAACACACGTCCAATTGACTGCTAACCACCAATCATCTCCCTCGCCCGGATGTCATCCATTCATAGATCTGAGATCGGAGGGCGACCCAGCGGTTAAGTTGTGCAATGTGCACTTTGTGGTTCAGTCCTACGGTTCACACAACAGACAGCTTACTCAGAAGGTTCAATCCTGTACGCCTAGTTCCCGCTCGGGCGGGAGCTAAAATCCATCATTCGAGATTATCACGTCAGTAGACGAGCGCTGGGAGCAGGCTAGCAACAAGTCTGGGTCCAAAATCCCAGCCAAAACCATCAGTTTCACTGTGCTCCGAAGACGCCAAGGCATCGTGATCATCTGAACCCCAATCTTGAAACGCGGGGTGAGTTCATCGAATTGGGGCTGAGACCGAGTATGGGAAATTTGATAACTGAGAAAACACCATATGGACAGGGACCCGAACGGTGAACTGTGGCTGATTCCGCTATCCGCGACATATCCAGACCATTCTGAACAACCAACAGAATGAAGAACAAAGATACCACGAACCACCTTCCCTTCACCGGTACCTTTTCCCGTCGCTTAACATCTCGTCACACAAAGTCGCAAAGAGCCATTGTGGCAGTGAACGATGATGACAAGCCCAGGAGGAGGCGGGTGTGGAGCTACAACCACCCAAGCCTTTCTTCCTGGAGACGCTAACAACCAGATCTCATCATTCTTTTACTTTACCCGTTTTCAGCTTAACATAGGTACCTCTCAAATCCTTGCGAATGCCAATCACCATCAAACATGTTAGTCCAAGTTGGTCCACCTCTTTCTTCCTTCGTGAGAGCTCGCGTCCAGTTTGGGAAGATGCCCAAGGAACAGCGGCGCTTTCAGGAAAAAACCAGGATAGACGTCTCTTTGAGCCCCTGGGCCCCTGAGCACAGTCCGGTGTCGCCGCAGGACCGCAAGGAGCATCATCAAGGGCAACAACTCGGTCACATTTTTACCAATCGGATGTTGGTTGGTGTTATTCCTGGGCTGGCCGAGTCCACGTCTGCTGTCCAGTGTCAGCCAGGCCATGGCAAGTGCCTTATATACATGGCATCCCTTTCTCAAGTCAATACCATGCTCAGTCGACTTGTCTACTTGCGCTCTGTTTTCACTATCATCCTAGTCATTCTTATACTATAACGTTGGCGTGCGTATCAGATCTTCGCCTGAGGTTGTCATCAGTTTCACCTTCCACCGCTTACCAATCTTATTATCACCCTAACCATCACCATCCTCGTCGTCCTCGTTACTTACCGGTCACCCCTAACCACGCGCATGCCATCAACCCATACACATCACCATGTACAGAACTAATCACCCATGGTGGAAGCTCACTCACATTCTCTGTATCCTCGGCCACCTCGGACTGATAATAGCCGGCGTCGTGGCCTTCATCCACAACCTGCAGAGCGAGGCCGACAATTTAGACACCACATTACAGCAACCAACGACAATAGTCATGAACATGTCGGATGACCAAACAGTCATTAACTCTGATACCAAGTCATGCAACATTGTACTGGTACAGGGCCTGGGCAATGGTGTTGATGGAAAGAGTGGAAGTGGGCATAGCAATTTTGGGATTATTGTCAATGAGCTGTTGCCGGTTGCTTCGGTCATTGTGGTAAGTCAGTTCTTCTTTCGTGTCGGTGTAGCAGCAGTGGCGTCAGCACGGTCCCTTTTCACTTGCCCACCATCATGACCGTCCGATAGCAGCACTACACCATTCTTCATCCCTTTCCAGTGTTGACCGCATCGGATGCAGAACACATTGCATCCGTCGGTTACAGCGCAGCACACGGTTACAGCCCTTACCTCCTCCACATTCCCATCGATTCACACAGCACTCCGTCAACGATATGCTAACAAACACCACCAGGGAACTATAGGACTAATTCTCAACATCGGGATTTTTGCCGCTCTCCTCGCCGTCGAGACCACCTCTGCTAAAGTCACCCTCACAGAAGGCGAGCAACACTGGCGCAAGAAGATTGTGACAGTCTCCTGCTGCGTGTTTAACTTGCTCCTTGCTGGTGCAGGGATAGGGTTAGCGGGAGCCATGGGGATCAGGTTGTCTAATGTTGGTGGTAGGCAGTTGGGCATGAGTGAGAGCGAAAGGAGTTTGATTGCTCCTTTGGTCTTGGGTGCTGTGCAGGCGTGAGTGATTTCTTCTTCTTCTTTTCCCGCTTCTGGCTTGGAAATTCCTACAAGTTTTGAGTGAGATGCCTGGCAGCTACTATGGTTAAGTCGTGTTCCCACGAGAGCGAGTGCTTCTCGAAAATTGCCGATGCACGTACAGGTTGATGGCTGGCTGGTTACCATCCTTCACCGCGAGCCCAATGGGAGCTTGAGAGAAAGCATCACCTCGGAAGTGACTGGCGGTTGGATGGCTGGGTGAGGGTGGGTGGACGGAAGGCTGGCTCATCAGTCATCACCGAACACGGGGTCTAAGCCACCTTCATATCCGCTCATGCGCTATCTTGAGTCTTGGCCCCCCTCGGCTCTTGCTTACCTCATTGACGTTGCTGCGGTGCGAGCCTTCAAGGTTTGGGGCATTTATCACTGTCCTGTCCAGTTTCTCCTCTGTTCGCCCTATCACTTTTGTCCCACTGCATTCTTCTCGCAAAATGCATGCACACACAACGAAGGAAAAGAGTTGCTAACATACCTATCTCTCACAGTCTACTCTGCGTAATAACAGCACTGTTCGACTTTATCAAGAATCATCGAGAAGGAAAAGATCTCATCGACTAAACTAGTTAGAGGGAGGAGATTGAACTCAGGATGTGGAAGGCGAGCAGCACAAGGTGCAGCATACGAGGATAAGCGGTGCATAAGCAGGTATAGAGTTCAAACTGGATGTAAAAGGGTGCTGTTTATGGTTGCATATGGGTTTATTTTAATGATTCTACGGTGTTCAGGTATGGAGTTGGGCGGAATACTTATTGATTTGGTTCTTGGGAGGCCTCACTTGAAGAGTTGTAGCTAGCAGTATCGGAGCTTTGAACAGCAAGAGGCCGATGTGTTAGGTCATCATTATCGAGCTCTCGGGGAACGGAGCTTGGCCAGCCAAACTGGGCGAGAGCCGTCAGCGGCCGGGGTAACATAAATGACACTAATGCAAAGTTCTTCTCCTCCATGTCTCCTTCCTATCGGTCATCTTGGTCACATCGTCACCTCGTGATTCCCCTACCTTCTGCTTGTTGCCGACCGGTCCCTACCATATCCCCTGGGCCCTTTTCTTGCATTTTCCCTCGATTTTCACGCACTTCACAGTCCCCGGCTTTGGCATTCTGGTCATACTGCCTTGACTGCCCCCGCAGGCCTTTCAACACACAGCACTGTACAAACACATTTGGTGATACACGGTCTGCGAGGTGCTGTACCTACATCCACCAAACCTCTAAACTAGAGCAGGAACCGTGCATATACCTCAAGGAACCGTGGGACAACTGCAGGTCGCCGTGGGGTTTTATCGTCAATAAACGATAGCCGACAAAATTTTCCAACCAGGACATCATGTTGAAGATACCTCTAATCGGCATGTACAATTGTGCACTTAGGTACCTAGTTTGCTGCATTTGTGTCGGAATCCCCACATCCCGCTTCCCATGATATTCTTTGTAAGAGCGTCACCCAGCGTTCTATTCTCGTGATGCTGTTATGAGGTTGTTGGTGATGACGAACAATGGTCGGCGACATGGTGTAATGCAGCACGGTATACGGACGTGAACCTTGGATGCCCCGGGTACCACTGCACGTAACAAAATGTTAATAGACGAACGGAATGTGATATGTCCGCTGCGGACAATAATCCGAGTTGGGGTTCCGCATTCATGGGTCGTAACTTGCGTGTCGCGAGTTGGCGGGCTCGTGGTTCGACACGTACTCGGAGTTTCAATGGTTGAACCTTGGTCTACCTTAGTATAGGATGAGAACCCGACATAGATAAACGCAGATCACCGTCAACGTCGACATGGACGTGTATGAACCTTTACAAGTGAGTCTCTACTGTAGGCTCCCATCAATCCTCCATCGAACCGTAAAGGATTGAGGTACAATTGTCAAACTGTATGTCGGGGTCCGGTGATGAATGGTGTGTCGTTGTCGCAATGCTGCTGGCTGAAACAACAGCAGCTGTCTCCAGCCGACAGGTGATCGTGGTGGCGTTTTAAGGGCACCACGCCAGCCAGGGGTTGATATCGTGGCCCCCGGAGTCAGCCCTCTCGGGCGTTGGCGTTCTGCATCATACACTAGCTGGTCTCTGCATATGCAAGGTTCTTTTCGGATTGGGGGATGCTGTACCACGCGCGCGGGTTCTCTTTTGTGTCGTGATGGTGCCCTGGCTTCGTACAAAAAGCTGACCACCCCTCACTTGTCGCCTTTGCCGGGCTTCAATATGTTGGCAATGAGGTGAGGTTGCATGGTGTGATGGGCCCCCAAACGTCGGGACCAACAGAGAAGTGATGGAGATCCCCGTCAGCGGCTAGGGTTAAAGCGATGCTAGGCGTTTCCATTGTGCCGTTTTTGAAGATAGCTCTAGGATAGGTAGATTGGTTGAGGCAATAAACAGACGGTCGGAGGTCTCCTTCTCTTCATGTCCTCAGGAGGTGGCATTGTTGGTGACATTCAATGGCATGCCAATGGGCGACGTCTGTGGTTCTGGAGGATTGTAGCGCATTCCGTAGGGTTACATGGGCGGCCGTGTTTGGGCAACAGTCCCCACCGCCATTTGGCGGATGGCGACCAATGACGACCAATAGCGATATCGATTAGAGGCGGCCGTCCACTGGCGTCATGCGCGGTTCGCGGCTTTCTGCACTGACGCAGCGGCACTAAAAAGTGAGGTTCTTGCATCTCTCGGGGCGCTCCGCATTTTTCCATTCCAGTTTCGTGCCCGACCCGACCATCGGATTCTTTCACTTTGTTCCATCTCCTTTGCTATTTGTCCCCCTTAGCTCGCTTTTCTCAGCTGTTCTTACATTCAAGGATAGGCCTTGATGGTGACCATGGCCATGTACCGATCCGATCAGACCCGTGCAGATGCTCCCGCCATCCCGGGCCTTCAATCACATCCACTACCTCCACAACAACACGGGCCATCATCATCATCACTTCAACCACAACCTGTCTCTCTTTCATCGGCGTCAGCACGACCATTATCATCCACATCTTCGCAACGGCTTCCTCCTTTGGCCATGTCAATAGGAACAGCGCCGGTGCCTGGTGCTCACTTGCGAGGACCTCCAGCCCTGGGACAGCAACAGTCTACGCGCACGCTCCAGGGCCCGTCCGCGCAGGACTGGGCCCGCCATCGAGATATCATCGTCGACCTCTACAGACAGTTTCCCCTCAAGAAAGTAAGCGATATAATGAGGAGTCAATACAACTTCTCTGCAAGGTATTTTGGCATCCCTTGAGTCCGTCTCTAACCCCCATGTCTTTTGCTCTTTCTTCATTCAGCTCAATCAACAACCGACGGCGTCTTCCGACGTGTCCATGTCCTTTCCCCGTCTCAATATCGATGGACACAACATGCCGGCCGACACAGCATTTGCACCGTCAGAAACACACAGTCCTATCCCATCACTGCCCTCACCCATCAAGTCCCAGTCCCATGGGAGCTAGCCGCATGTGCTGGCTCCACGCCCTATTGACCACAGTACCGGAGTCCAATGGTCCATGCTGTCTGAGTTGGACGAACAGGGAAAGCAGTCCGCCGACTATCTACCATCCAGCTCATCTATCTCACGTCTTCGTTCCCTTATACCGTTGCTGGCAATCATGTGTATCCGATCACGGTCGTTTTAACTATAATAATGGCCACTTCCATGTTTCCATGTTTCTCATGACTTCTTGTCGTCATCATCATACCTTCCATATCTTTCATCTCACCCTACCTTGTCACATCACTCCACCCCCGAAGAACCAACATGACGCTGGTCGAGATCCCCTTTGCTAACCTCACCCTCTCGGACACCAGCAAACGCATGTATGACAAGAGGTTCCGGGAGTGGAATGTGTTTAAGAATGTCAACAGCGATGAAAAGGATAGGCATGTACGCCCTGGCCGATTCCATGGATCCACTTCGCCTCGGAGGCACGGCCATGCCTCACCGGCGGCACATCATGATATAAATAACCTGGACGGCGTACCGGAATCACCACAGTACACACAACCCTTGCTATCACCACATGAGAGACAGAGGCATTTACAACGGTCAACGAGCCCCTACACATCCTTGTCCATCACCATATCCAGTCCAAGTGCCATGTCCATGGGGAGGCCACCAACACCAGCACATCAGCGAGCCATGAGCCCACCAATTACCCGATCGGCGTTGAGCATAGCGGATCTCATCATTGAAACCGCCCCCCAGTCGAAGCAGAGATCGGAGTCTCCCGCCGAGACCATAGAGACATGCTCGTCACCAGCTCTCTCTTCCTCGACACCTGGCGGTCAATCATGCGCTACACCCGCATCAAGTTGTGCCTGGTCTGAGGATCAGAACCGAGACAGGGACAAGCAATTAGTCCACACCGGGTCGCCCAACCCACAAAATCTTTCCAACTTCAAGGCACAAATCCGCGCCCTTGCCGAGTCACCGCCACCATTCATCGCCCCGGACTCCAGGACGCGAACACTGGACATCATCACCCTCAGCCTCCGTGACTACTATGACTGGCAGACACGCAACGTGCCGGACGGCATCTCACCCGATGACTTCCTCGGACGGGGGACGACCGATGCATCACAGCAGTACTGGTCTTCTATCAAAAACGCCATCTACCTCATCAAGCTCTCGGCCAGTTCAACGGAGTCAGATGCCACTCAACGACCTGATGTCCGCGCATGGCCAGCCCTGTCCGAAGCTGGTCGGGACGCCGCAGCCGCCATGACCAGCCAACCCTTTGACTTCCTCCGCAACCTCTTCGCCACGCTCTCACCAGCCAACGTCCGCGCCCGTCCCGAACTCCGGAGCATCCTCCTGCAGTTCCTCGCTAGCGAAGCCAACAACAACTTCTCACCCACACATCCCATCGCCCGCATCTGCACCGAACTCAACAACGACCAAGACTGCCAGGAGATCTCCCGCCGCGCTTTGCAGTGTATGGTGGACATGTTCAGCCGCCTCGGCCAACGACGCTTCGTCTCCTTCAAACTCCTTGACTCCCTAGCCACGCTCCTCCGTCGCAACGGCGAGTTCGATGCGGCAATGGCCATTGTCACCGAGCTGTTCAAAGCCTGCCGGCGAGAATTCGGCCCGTACTCGGAACAGACCCGTGCAGTTGAGAATGAGTTGGCGCACTTCTACATGGTTGTGGACGACTGTGACCAAGCATTGCAGCACTGCATGGCTGTCATTCGCCGCCCGCCACCCGAGGGGCTACTCAATGACCCAAAGATCGCTTTTCACCAAGACGGCATCGCAGCGCACACAATGGAGGACGTCGCGGAGATTCATGAGAGACGGGGTGATCTGGAGCAGGCAATTGTTTGGCTTGAGAGGGCAGCGGATGTCGCATTGAGAGTTTGGGGACCGCAGGCGGTAGCGACGGGGCATATTATCGACAAGCTTACGACGCTAAAGAAGGAGTATGCGAATAATATGTTGAAGAGTGCGAGGGACTGGGAGGCTGTTATCGAGCGATAGTAGCTTTGGGAATCTCGGTCCGGTAGATAGCGGAAATTTCAAGGCGTTAATAGGATCCCCCAATGGATTTAACGAAAGGAGAAATGTGTTTAGAAAAGTGGTCCTTCGGGATCCGGTACCAGAAGCACCAAGGACCTCCGCAGCCGATACCCGCAACAAGCTTGTTCTCACCCCCAATTGGGGTGGGTTAATGACGCTTGTCAGCGACTCATAGTTGAAGTGTGCCCGTGTTTGCAGGTGGTACTGTGCCTTGAAAAGTTTGTTCGGCACGGACTTCTAGACGAGCTCATATGCAAGACCAGGAGTCGCTAGCTCCGCAGGTACTCCCTGCCCTTGGTTGGTCCGGGCCGAGAGCAAAGTCGAAATCGACCCACACACTAAGTGACTACTGCACTTTATGCTCGACTTTCCTAAGGTTGACTTGGCATTAGTTCTGCCGCAGTGAACGCTCCATCGTTTGCCGGGTACGAGCGTGACAAAACAATTTGGCAACCGCGTACTACCTTCCTCCTGCATCACAAGCGTGCCTTCGGACTTTGACCTCAGTGCTTAGCTCGACTGATAGTCTAGGTCTAGAACACAGCATGGACGATGGCGTTGTGACCGTAGTACTTTGTGGGCCTGGCGATTTGCCCAGTATAGGAGATAGTCCCGCTTTGACGCGATTTAACGTTGCTGCATATCCACTCACCACACTACCTCTAGGCAGTGCGATATGCGCTTGTAGTGACTCCATCTAGGCGCGAGCGACGACTCGTGCGGACGACTTTAGCGAACCACCCGCGCCCCGCTACGGCCGGTGAGTTATACCCCCACCCCATGCCTGCAACCTCCACCGCTTTTAAGGGTCCTCTTGTTCCACTTGACACAATCCGTCTCTGTCGTCTTGACTCTACGACGGCACGGTGGCTTCATACCCTCTGCCACACTCTGCATCCGCAAACTGGCCATGGAGCTGGATTTCCTGAGTGACACCGAGGACACATCGACTCCGGACGAGGCCTCAGCGCTACGCGATTTCGTGCAGGCCTACAACACCACAAGCGCCCTGGCCGCGGAGGAGACAGCTCGCAGGCTCATGTCGCTGAATGAGGACCGCGTGCCATGCGATGGCGTGTTCGACAAGGGCCAGCGAATTGCCTGGCTGCTGTGGGATGTCGGCATCTATATGCCACAGCATCAAGTCGCCGTCCTGGTGGTTATCGACGCGGTGATGGCCCTTCCCCGCTTGGACGCGACACCTGAGCAGGAAACTCGGTTCGCGGGGAAGCTGGAGCGGTGGAGGAAAATGGAGGACTTCTGGGATATCTGGAACGATACCTACGAGAGTATGTATTCCAGCGCACACTCGCATTGCCTATTGACTAACAAATCGGGACCGGATACTGGGAGTATCGGTATCCTGCCGATCGGCTTGATAGTGGCAATGGATTTCCCGGCCACGTCCGGGCTAATGCATTCATGGCCCATTACCTTCTGATGCATCCTCCCGACTTGTGCTACACTCTGGAGCTAAATAGAGCCATCGGACAGATGATGTTTGCCCTTGAGCGGCATCCGTGGGACTATGCCACTGCGGAACAAAAGGCGACCGGGATCACTAGTCCTATCTCCCTCCGGTCGTTCATGGTGCACGAGGCCCATATTACCATGCTTAACGTGAGTCTAACCTGCCCATAAAGCTGCAAATTGCGCGCTAACAGAAGAACTAGACCAACCTTCACGGCTTGGTCCCATTTCTTGTGATTGCAGGGGATATAATGTACCGATACACGGACAGAGAGATGCTAGCTCGGAGGTTCGCAGAAACACATCAAGAGAACCATCAGCACAACTCAAGGGAATACTGGCAGTGGTTGCATACATCTCATCCTTCCCAAACCCGCCTGTGGAAGGGCGACGTATGGCTGACACGGGACAGGTGGGCCTTTTGGAAGGAAAGACTTGCATGGATTTCAGAGCAGAGCGAGCTCTTGCAAAGGACTCGGGACGAGGCAAACATGCTTGTGCAGCTAATGAAGGAGATTGAGAGTCGTGAGGCGTAAACACTCTATTGTCTACAACGTTCTAAATCTCGTTTAACACTTATCCGACGAGCTCCTTACGGCTATAGTAGCACGTTTAGAAGACAAGGACTGGAGAGTTACAAAGGCTGCCTTAGGTGTCTTGCAAGCCCAGTCCAGCTTATCCGACGAGCTCCTTACGGCTGTAATAGCACGTCTAGGAGACGAGGACTGGAATGTTAGATGGACTGCCTCAGATGTCTTGCAAGCCCAGTCCAGCTTATCTAACGTCATTCTTACGGCCCTAGCATTGTTACTGGAATCCAAACTTGTAGGCGACTTAGCAGAGGCTATATTAAGAAGATATAAGAAATCTTACCCTACCCTTCTTAATGGGCCGTCTGTTGAACCATTATTCAAATTTCTCCTGCGAGGTAGCTTTGATGAGCAGTGGAGTTGGTATGTTACAAAGGAGACATCTTGCGTTAACATGCTAGAATGGGTCGGAAGTACTAGCATTGATGATGGAAAGGAGTTTATGAACATGGTGACGAGAGCAAGGTGTGACGAACCGTTACAAGCACAGGAGTATATCGCTGGGAATATGATCAACGGTAGTAGTAGCCAAAAGGTACTGGTCGATTGTGAAAGCTATTGCTTGCTGAAGAGCCCAGTAGACAGAAGGCCTGGGAAGGCCTTCTTTATATACTGGTCCTTCAGTGTGCGCCGCTGCGCCGGTGAGGCTATTCTCGGCCACCCGGCGCGGCCCTGATTGGTCTACCTAGCTGCTTACATAAGTGATCCCTTATTGGATCGTAACACGATGCCCCCTCTCTTGTGGCTTTGTCCTCGAAGCCACGATGACCCTACATAATAACGCTTATCCGGTCTTAATATTTGGGTGCCAACGACACTTGTTGGTTGTGACCTTATTGCCTGCCTGCTTCCTTCTCCCTGTCATTCCTCATAATCGTGTGTTGCCTTCTTCTGTCTTTACTTTCGGTAAGTCTTTTTCTTTTTTCATTATCAAAGATGTCTCGTCGTCCTTCCGAACGCTCCTTACGCCGAAACGCGGCGGCCAGAGCTCTTGCTGATACCATCGAAGTTCTCGGTCAAGCATCAGATATGCCTTGCTCATTCTGTCATCGCAACAATCGGTCCTGCATTATGGATCCTGCGAAGTCTAGCTCGTGCAGCGAATGTGTTCGCCGTAAGGGTCGCTGTGACGGTGTTGATGTTAGCAACAAGCGTGAGTGCTGTGTCTGATCCTTGCTGGGATGTTGCTAATGATCGTAGTAACCGCTACACTCCGCGAGATTCGTCGTATCGAGGAGGAGGAGGGGAAGTTGATGAAACAGGCTCTTGAGATTCAGTCGAAAGTGGTTCGTCTTCGTGAGCAGAAGCTCCATATGCAACGAAAACAGGATTCTTTGTTCAGTAGGGGTATGGTGGAGTTTGAAAATGACCTTCGTGAGCAGGAGGGTGGAGGTGGTGCTCCTGCTGTGGGTGATACGCCTACTGGTGACGTCTTCGCCGCTGACGGTTCTGAGGAGCCTGACTGGGTGAGGGAGTTGAATGCGATGTCCCCTGGCTCCTTGACTCAGCTGGCGGCTTCGGTCGGTCAGGGAACCGTCGGTGAAAGCTCTCAATCTCATCCTTCAGGTTGACGAGATTGCTTGGTGGTTCCCAAGTGTTACTTTCGTGGCCATATCCTTGCCACTTGATTAGGTATTCGATGTTACCAGTATCGTTATTAATCTTGGAATCCAAGATTGCCTCCGTCAGGAACTCGTCTCCGTCGTTCCATGTCTCTATGCGGTTGTCGATTTTTGCGTTCTTTGGTGCTGGTTCCAGCAGTGAGACGTGGAAGGTGGGCCATTGTCGCATGCCCTTGGGAAGTTCGAGGCGGTAATTGCTGGTACTGACTTTCTCGATTACCTTGAATGGTCCCAGTTTCTTGTAGTCAAGCTTGTCACTGGGCCGTTTGGTCTTGATATTACGGCGAAGAAGGTAGACTTTGTCTCCCCTCCTGAAGGTCGGCGCCGACGACCTCGTGCGGTCGTAATATCTATTCATTCTGTCACGCACAAACGCCAATTCGTCCTTGAGCGTCTGATGCATCTCGGTTAGGCGCTCAGCCCGTATATGTGCTCGCGGTACGACTGACTCCGAGTCCCAACCTCGCCGGGAACTCATTTCGTAACCATAATTGGCGAAGAATGGCGTGACTTTTGTTGTTTCGGTCTTGGAACTGTTATACGACATCTGAGCGGTAGGGAGTAGCTCAGCCCAATTGTCCTGCTCGTAATTGACGTATGCTCGTAGATATGCCTCCAAGACCTGGTTCATGCGTTCCGTTTGTCCATCCGTTCTAGCGTGATACGCGGTAGACATCTTGTGTTTCACTCCAAGTTTATTCATGAATGCTTGCCAATATCGCGACGAGAAGAGCTTGTCTCTGTCTGTCACGAGCTCCTTTGGCCATCCATGGTTGGAAGTGATGTATCGCATGAAGATGTGTCCTAATTGTTCCGCATTGGTATCTTCCCTAAACGGCAGAAAATAGGCAAACTTCGTGAATCTGTCGACAACGACCATGATGCTGTCGTACTCGATACCAGTGGCTGGGTCTCGTGACATGGGGAGCTTCGTAATGAAGTCCATGGTCACCGACTGCCATGGCGCTTCTGACACTGGAAGTGGCTCGAGTAAGCCATAAGGCTTGTGCCTATTGGCTTTGGTTTTGTGACAGATTTCACAGTCGTGCAGAACTTCTGTGACGACATCCTTCATCTTAGCGAATCCGAATGTCTCCTGTACCCTGGCTATCGTGCGTGCGATGCCAGCGTGTCCTCCTTCTTCAGGGGACTCATGAATGTCTTTCACCAGCTCCTTCTGCAGTGACGGGGGTACCCACAGCTTGCCTTTGTGAAGCCACGGC